GCAGAACTCGATGCGGTCCTTGACCCAGTCGTTGTAGAGTCCAGGATCATCTGGAAAAAGGTGAGCATGGCGGAGATCTCGTCTCTGTTGCTCTCAATCAGGGACAGCATGTCCAACTAGATCTTGCAACAAAAGCCGGCCACGTCTTACGCATTGCTCTCCATGGCCTTGGTCAGCTGGTTCCCCCCCAAAACTGGATCGAGTTGGCGGCCAGGATCTTGCTCCGGAGGGCACCGTCCTGCTGGAGCTTCTTGTTTGCAGCCCGGGCCTGCTCCAGGCTCTTTTGCGCGTCCAGCACCGCCCTGTGTTTCCCCGGGCCCTCCCTCCAGCTTCTGTTGGGCAAGCTTCGGAACTTCTCCATGTCCATGTGGCGCAATTTCTGTCCCCCCAACGCCTTTTGGTCGCCGGGTTCTGCACCAGCTTAGCGGCGATCTTGATTGCCTCCGCCGCTTGGATATGGAAGACCAGGAACTCCTGGTCCTTAACCCGGTCCTCCTGCATGGCGCTGGGGCCTCTCCATCTTCCCCTCGAAGGCCACCGGGTCGGGTTGTTGTTCCCCGAACCGGGGAACAACAACCCGGGAGGGGTGGGGGGGTTGTTGTTCACGCATTTGGCGAACAACAACGCCCCCCATTCGGTGGAGGGGTGGGGGATGGGCCGGGGGGGGAACAACAACGGAGAGGGCAACGGAGAGGGTTGTTCTTGGGAACAACAACAAGGGGGGAAACAACAATCGGGGGGTTGTTGTTCTCCAAATCGGGGAGCAATTCTATCGAAGGTATGGCCTCCAATGCCCTGTCGTCCCACAGCGGCCGGTGTCTTCAGCATGAGATGACCCGCCACAGGTCAGCTCCTTGCGCGCGGATGTAGGATTGCATGTGCAGCAGGCCCACGGCCGGGAAACCCTTCCTGCATGCCCTGGATCGTCGCCTTGTTGGAGACGAAACCAGAGAAGGGACGGCTCGGGGGTGGCTCCCCACGGGTCATGACCACGTCCTTGTTGGTGCCGGAGGCCGCCGCACCCAAGCCCAGGCGGAAGTGCTCCTCGCCCAGGGCGGTCTCGGCATGCTCGGAGATGCGGGCGGAGGTGACCTCGCTCTCGCGCCACTCAATGGTCCGCCTGCGTCTCTTGCATTTCCTTCAGCTTGCCACAGACATCGTGCCTGGTGACATTCTCGACGATCTCTGCCTTGCCGTCATTGGCGTCGGTCGTCAAGGGTGCCAGGATCGCGGCACCAGCAATCTCCGAAGCTCCCTTGCCGCCGCAAACTCCTAAACAACGGTCCAAGCATCAGCAGGGGTGGCTGGTGCGGCCATGGGAAGTTTGTCGAAAGCTCATGTGCAGGGACACAACCAGCTTGAGCCAAAATGGCATTCGCCATAGTAACTGCCAGTATCTGTAACGAATAAGCTATAGTCACCACCCCACCACCACTACTACCATCAAACCATCATCAAAACCATCGTCACAATCAGCCCCTGCAGCAGCATCGCCATCACCACTAATTTCCTCAAAATGTTCAGCAAAGCTGTAGGAACCAGAGTCAGCTGCATCGTCGTGGTCATCCCACATGTCCTGATCGTCTGATTCTCATGGCTCATACTAGTAGCAGTCAAGGACAAAGACAGGTAACCCTGTATGGCGATGTTGGTCAAACTAGCAAGTTGGATAATGGCGGAGTGCAGAACTTTTCGCATGGTTTGTGGCTGGCGGAACGTGCGAATCCGGCCGAGGCCAGTCCGTGGTACTAAGTCCATAGGATAAGGCGCAGTAACGCAGCAGTAGAAGCAGCCATACATCGCCTTGCCAAGTCGGAAGCTCCCATTCAGGAAGATCAGAAGGCATTAACAACTGTCACGATCCTCATCTTTTTTCCGGTGATGTGGCAGGTGTAGTGCTGGTTTCAGTCCCAACGGAAGACTTCCCAAAGGCTGGGAGCCAATGATTCCAATTCCATGAAGGTAAAGGGGCTGAGCTGTGCGTTCGTTGGGGCCTGAACGTGGCCTCAAGGTTAAAAAGGCTTGGTAGCTGATGCTGGTGATGCGCGATCTTTGGGGCCTCAAGGTGGAAAGGCTTGGTAGCTGATGGTTAAGAGCGTATTCACTGTTGCCCTGAGATGCCAAAATGTTGGGCGGCTGATGCTGATGATGCTCTGCAGTTTTTGGCAAGGGGAATGATAACAGGCAGGGCAGCTGATGCTATCGATTCCAGCTTGGCCATCAACCTTTAGATTAGAGCCGCCCTGGCACAAGAAGAGTCCTCACAGAAGGCCAACTTACAACTGTTCTGATCCTTATCGTCTTCCTGTGCGGTGACAAGCATGCACAGGAGAGCGCGAAGCATGGATCCAAGGATGGGGCTGACCATTTCTCTCAAGCAGAAGCACCATGTGTTCGTACATGAATGGCTCCTGCAAATGTAGGCCAGCCTAGCTGAACGCGAAGCTATCCTTGCAATCACGGCCGTCCACAGTCACTCTGTTGAGCTTCATCTGCTCGAAAAGGTCCCATGCCTGCATCACAGCAGCGACATCTCTTATGTCTTATTTATCTCGTGCCACGAAGGGCATCTCGGAATGAAGAAAAGCATGTCGTGTGTTGTGACAGTGTCAGCCTTGTCAGGATCATGAGATTCATCTGCGGCCAGGATCGCATTCCAGTAGGCCGATCGGAGCCTGCACGAATCGTCCGGCTCCATGGTCATCCGCCGTGACTTTGCAGAAGTGCCCGCCTTTCGCCCTGCACTCGGAATCCTCTCCCTGACATTTCCTGCAATAAGCTGATGACCTCATCAAGTCAATAGGAATTCTTGCCCGTGGCTAAGTGTGCTCTTGCATACTGTACAGGGCCCCAGACTCTGGTCCAGCTCTTCTTGTACTCACAAGTAGAAATCGCCTGGACACAGGGCCCACACTTCGAAACCAGACATAAATTTCGACCGGTCTCAGTACCAGACGTGCAGATACATACTCGGATCCTGACCACGATGCATCTGTCTTGGAATGCAAGCCGTGTTCCCTGTGCTGAGCAAGCGACCACCTTGATTTTGGCTTTCTGCCTGCCGACAAACGACTACCCGCGTCGCCTGATCACACAGAGCCAGCCATTCCGGCAAGATACAGATCCAAGAGCAGCTGCAAGGCGTAGTCCTGGAAACACGCACGTGCATTGCTCACACTGGGACATGCTGCTCAGGTCAGTGAGGTCCTCGTAAGAGCTGATTCCGAAGCCTGGCGTTGTACCGGAGGCCCTGAAGGCTGCTCTTTCAGGAATCACGGGGCTCAAACTTGTCATCTGAGGCTTCCAGTCGTAAGCTGCGGACGCTGCAAGCTGGCATGCGCGCAAGGCTTGCTTGTAGATGCCCTTCTCTTCGTAGATCTCAGTCGCTTGAAAAGGCTTGGACAGAGGGCATCTCACATGCGACTTGGTGCCAGACGGGCCCATCAACAGCATTCTTATCGTAGCTGCGCCTCAGGGCCAGTCTCCAGTCCCACGCCGGAGCAACTCATAGCCAGGCATAGCCAGGCCTGCGCTGGATGGCGGCTTCAAAGAACTGGAGCGCTCGATCCTCGGCCGCAGAAGCACGGCCGAAGGCTGCAAGATCTGCAAGCTCTGTGCCGCGGACGGGATCGTTCCCTGCCATGGCAATGCGCATGAGAGCCTGGCGCGAGCGCCAAAGCATGGGCTGGGCTCAAGAGAATGCTCACAGCGCTCCTGGTCCACCTTGGGGTGACTCCTCGACGGCACGACGTGGTGCTGTTCACATTGGCGAAAAGCACCCGACGCCCGAGGGCCGGGCTTGAGGCCCCGATCCTTCATCCTCTGATAAAGGTACAAACCCTTGTCCATTTCGCCGGCACCTTTGCTTCCCAGAGCAGTAAACTCACAGCTGCGACAACATAAGCTGAGCTTCGGACGCTCTGCGGCTTGCATTCCCCACAGGAACGTCGTCAGGTTCGGCTGCAGCTTAGCAAGGGACTACTGGTGAGGTCATCTCTGAACGCTCGATAACTGGTGCAGTCCCTGGCAGGGGGCAATTCCTACGCCTTTTTGGCCTGTCGTTCTATCCTTCCACCTGCTGACCCTCTAGAATGGTATTGCTCCACTGTTGGTTGTGCGTGCGAGAGCTTTTGGAAGCTTTCGGACTGGACCGAAAACAGACAGTTGCTTCCTCGAGTTTATCTCCCAACATGCAACACCCCCGTCTCTGCACCCTTCCATGTCGGCGAAGCCCTTTGAGTTCGCTTTGGTGTCCGTGCTCTCATAGCTGAGGCGAGCACACCAGCCTTGATCATTTGATCCTTATCCGCAAAAGCTCAGCGAGCATCCGCCACTCATGAGATTCAAGAAGATGCTGGAAACTTCCTCACGCCGAGAGTCGATTGTCTCCAGAACACGTTCAAACTCGCCGCCGGAGCCTGTCTGACGTCCGCTGTGAAGACACATCTGCCAGTAACAGAACGCGTGGACCAGGGGGCAAACCGTAAGCCAAGACCAGCAGGTTGAAGATCTGTCGGCCCGGAACAGGGACGACACATCGGGAACGGCGCACCGGTTACCTGTCTCGTCGGCAGGATACTGCGCGCGAGCATGTCCTCAAAGAGCTCCAGCCTGAGCTGTACATCTAAACACTGCACGGCCAGCACCCGGTCAGTTGATATCGAATGTGCACCTGCCCTCAGGTTTGAGCATTTTAGTAGTCTCCCAAGACCCTGCACCCCCAGAGCATCAGCACAACCGAATGCCCTTACTCTAGGTCTCCAGTCACACTGCAAAAAGCTTTTACAGCCATGACTAAGAGCCACTCGATTTGATCCATGTTCCAGCCTGCGCAGGAAGTCGCTATGGCTGAGATCAATTCCGAAGTACACAAACCTTCCCCAATTCGTACATCAGGGTCGCATAGATCTCCAGCCTGAGAGCTTTGCCAACGGCTGGACAAAACGTGGCTGTAACAGAAGCCGTATGTTCCGAGGACGGCAACATGGCCAGCTGCACCCAAGCTCGGTTGGTACAAAGTCGTGTTTTTCAAATTTCCCTCTTCCAAGCGAGGCTGGCTGAGCATGCAAGAGGTACAAGAGTGTGTCTTACATGCCCCATCCTGACCTCAGTCCTGCCTGCTGTTCATGCGATTCAATTAAGGGCGAGACGTTGGCTCATAGCCGTCGGACTGCATGTCCTCCGAAAAGCCATCAGACGAACACGCTGCATAAATGACCGAAGCCCCTCGACTCCTTGAAGAGCTGCAAGGCACCGTCCACCTCTTCCTTCCTTAGAGTCTGCTTTCGCGAGAGAAGGCAGCACTCTTGTTGAGTAAACCGAGCGCAGTGCTTGCTATATGCCTCGATGCCGAGATAATAGCCTGGGTCGCGCAGCGGGATCTGGCTGCTTCATGTCATCCGTGAGTTGTTTGTTCTGACATCTCCGAGTCTCCTGCACTGAGGGCTCAAGGGGATGTAGTGCTCCGCCATCTCCTCGCTGAACAGACGATCTCTTCCCACTGTGCCTTGCAGCCTTGCAAGGCTGAAAGCCATCATTCATCTCTTCCTCGAACAGCCTCACTGTTTTCTCATAGCGCCTCCCCATGTCGCATGCCATATCACAAAAAAGCTTTCAATTCACAAGGTGAAAGCAGATCTATACACGATAACCTGTCTTCAACTGCAAACATCTCTGCTCATGACATGTCTGCCTCGTCTGCGACAGGGCGCTCATGACCTGGGTGTTGTGCATGCTGGCTTAAGCTTCATTGAAACGCCGCCCATCTCCACCGAGGACATGCAGCCAGGAGGCCAAAGCATAGTGTCCTGGATATGTGGGGAAGTGGAAACCCTTGTCTTGACTCGGAAGCCATAGAACTTGGAAAGCCCTTGTACAAGTAGCTGTTCGCGATCTGATTAAGAATACTCAGAGCAGTTCGGGATGTCGTCCTGCCTCACGTCGGAGCAGCGCGGAAATGCTAGAACCGTTTGCGTCACTGCTTCCAAACCGATGAAAAAGTGTTCGGAACCGCTTCTAAACTGTTCGTAACCGAATCGGGGTCGGTTCGGCTCCTGCTCTGAACCTGTCCGGAACAGTTCGGAACCAGTTCGGAACTGCTCGGAACCTGCACGACATCGGAACCGAATGGTTCATTCACCCAATTCACGCCAATGCCGAACAGTTCCGAACCGCTTCTCGACAGTTCTAAATCGGTTTCCGATAAGTTCAGGTTCCGACATGATCCGGCTCCGAAGAGTTCCGAACCGTGTCCGATTTCGAGCATCTAGAAGCGGCTCGGAACCGACTCAGGCACCACAACACTGTGCGCAGGGAAGTCATTCCACATGGCCAAAGGAATTTTCGGAATGCTTGACCCGAAAGCCCAAGCGAGTTGGGCACATTTACCCCCTGATCACCAACTTTTTAGCATTCCGGTTTAGGGCTTGGCAAGAAGCAAAGCCGGAGCCAGGCGAAGTCAGAAGCGAATCGAAACTCCACAACTCGGCATGCAGCCGAAGCCCAAAGGCAACATCGAGAGCCCGAAACTCAAGAGAGCAGTTCGGGGCAACATCTCGGACATGGTTCTTGAGTGATGAGTGAAGAACGTCACGATGGATTAATCCGATCAAGTGCTGAAGCTATCTCACTTTGTGGCCGGAGGGTCCGATACTTCGAAAGCCAAAGAAATGAGAGGGACTGAGAGGGTGCAGCCCACGCAGACAGTAACCCTGCATGTTCACGAGCCCTCGGCCCCGCAGACTGCTTTAGCGCTCTCAGGAGATTTCAGCAGCTTTAAGACTTCTCTTCTCAATCAATCCGAGAATCTATGGTCTGGCATGAAGCCGTTGTGCCACATGCAGGCCAAGATGATAGACGCCTCGGACAACTGGCAATGCAATCTGGCTCAATAAGCGCATCTCTGGCGGGTAAGTTTTGGAGTCCGGCATCCCGCCAGCCCTCCCTTCGTCTGCAGAGAAGGCTGAGCCTGCAAAGACAACTGACTGGGAGAAGCTTTGAGAGGTCCCAACGACAAGGGGGAGAGAGGGAGAGAGAGAGAGAGAGAGAGAGAGAGAGAGAGAGAGAGATAGAGAAAGCGAGCGAGAGAAGCAATGCAACACAGTGGCGCATCTTCGTATTCCTCTTTGGTGGTCAGAACATCACCACGCCTGATCGTGCTCGGACATCACGCAACACTGCTCTCGCCTGCCGTCCACTCTCAGCCTGCGGGCTACTACAAGTACTGTGATGGCGTCCTCAAGGCGAGCATCACCTCCTTGAATTTGCCACTGTCCGGCCGCCTCGCTTTCAAGACCTGGTTCTGTCAGCTCAAACTCCGCTTTCCGTGCGGAGGCGTGCGAAAGTTGAGATCTGAGCTCTCCAGATCGCCCTTGAATGCCAGATTTGGTTTTCTCGACCAAAAGCGAACAAGCTCTGACGCAGCCCGGGCGCTCTTTGCTCAGGTTGGGTACCCAGTGCTGCCAGTCGGACTCCTTAGATCAGCGACCTCCTCCGAGGCAGAAAAACCGCGTAGGCATAGGACTTGGAGAGACTGGAATCATGTTTCTCGACACCCGGATCTGAAATGAGACGAGCATCGTTGGTCTCTTTGCCACCGGAGCCTCCGGAGTGAGATTGAGATAAGCATACCAGGACAGCTAAGGCTAAGGAGGAGCCTCGCCGCTCCGCGTCTCTGCCTCAACGTTGAGGACCGAAGGGTGCAGACTCCAGCGATCGATGGCATTTCTTGCGGCCGGCGCCTTCCAATTCCTCCACCTCCTCTTCGTAGTCATCATCCTCGCCTTGGCACAAGCTGATCCATGGAACAGCACGTCTTGCGCTTGAGGAAACTGGGGGGTTGTCCCCACTCTGCCAACTCTCTTTCCAGCTCCAGGGCCTCGTCTTCCTGCACCTTTCTGGAAGAAGCCAACCACGGAATTAGACGAAACATCACGAAACCCCTCACATGCCTCCACTGGTTGCAGCGAGGCCCTGAACAGTAACAAGCTCAAAAGCAGCACCCGAGCCGTCCTACGGAACATGCCGACACAGCCTCCGCTGAGTGCCAGGTAGGCCTGGACCGGACGCAAGCAACAAACGAAATGAGCAGCTGACACGCACGAATTTACACGAAGCACCAACCTCGCGTCTCCCGGCGTGGCCCGCGAGAGGCCACAGCGCCAGCTGCCGCACCTGTTCACAGGCAGGAAATGCTTCTACCAGCGGTGCCTCCAGTCGGCACAAGACAGATGCAAAGGTGACGGAGAAAATGAAAACTGGTGCTTGCCTGCAGCAGCAGCGACGAGAACAGGCCTCGACTCTCTGGAACTGTCGGATCACTGCACTGGACACCATAGTGCCCCCGCATCTCACAAGCCCACATCACTCCGTCTGTTTGCTCGCTCCACCAAGCCCTCGGCAGTCCACTCTGCTCCTGACGAGTGTGTTGCTCGGCGCCTGAATAGCATCTGGAAGTTGCTCAAGCACCATCCCTCTCAACTGCGCATCCTTTCTGGGCACCAGAGGCATATCTCCACTCCGCCTTGACCCAAAACCGGTCTGGAGAGCCGCAGTGTCTCGCACCGAGACAGGCCGACAAAGCCTCTCCGCACAACATGGAAGGGCAAAATTGAAAGGCCGCAGCAGAAGCCACCACTTCACCTGGCCTTGGCTCCCAAAAGACACACCTGGAAAAAGAGAGACACTTCTGCCGCTGAAGTCTTGTCAAAAAATAGCGAGGAGGGCACTGAGTCCGGCCATTCCGACTCCCACAGCAGCGGAGGCAACGGAACGTCTCCTCGTAGTTTCCAAGACCAACCGGGGATGAGCCAGCGACTCCCTAGCAAGAGAAAACTCGGCATTTCTGGCGGCATGAGCTTGCGTTGCGCTTCAGGTGTCAGCTGACCTGAATCACAGCTTCACTCAAGGACTTGATCGAGCCCATCAGCAGGCAAACTAGCCCCCCTGACGGGAATCCTGGGTGAGATCTAGCAAGGCTTCAATCATGAAGCTCCCAGCATCGTCTAACACACCTTGCTTCCCTGATGTTGGTGCCCCTCGGCATTGCCTTGGGCAGTGCCGAGGCGACTGGGCTCCTTCCTCATCCGTGCACCGCCTGGGCCAGCGTAGGCAAGCTGATCCCACAACTAATCCTCATCAGCAGTCTGTCTGTGATTCACCTGACCCTGACGGCCGTGCATGGACTACAGACAAGCCCATTTAAGGGTCGCGACGAATTTCTCGAAAAGTTTGCACCCACGATTTGTACGTGAGGCGCCTGCTGTGGAGAGACACTGTAGCCCAGATGACCCCGCGACGAAATCGAGCTCGTGATTGCCTACATTTCTTCCTACACACCACTGGGCTTCCCTCTCACATCAGTGTGAACAAAAAGATCGCACAGTTGAAACTGTGAGAGACACTCAGCGTTTGCCTAGCCTCCCTCACATTGGCTCCCCAGACAGGGTGCATAACTCACGGCCATTTAATCACCTGCCATGGGAGCTGAGGGCTGCAACTTGTTTTAACCTGCGCCAGCACTCTGTAGCATAAACTTGCCTGACACCTCCCCTAGAGACGCCAAGCATTCTCACTGCCTCATCGGTACAGAGATTGGTTCCGCCTCGCGCAAATGACGCGGGCAGCTGGCAGTCTCACAAGCGAAAAATTGCGAGTGCTTATGCGATGGCATGGCTCAGGCAGGAGCCACTGGCTTGAAGGCAGGAACAGCCACAGGCTCAGCCTGGAGACTTCTGAGTACATGCTCAGTGCGCCATGGCCCAAGACCATGCTAACTTTTCAGACGAGCAGCTGGGAACATCCGGGCTCCCTGTGCTGAAGGAATAGTCATGCTGGCGACACCACGATTGAGGGAGGCCGCACTGGGAGATCCCTGAGCAGCCAACCGTAAGAAAAAAGTGCCAGGAAGTGCTTCGCAAGAGGACCCGAAGCTTGCAAGCGGGGGTCAAGAAGAGTCGCACCCAGCGGCATTGTGGCGTCCTGTTATCTTGTCTAGTCACACATCAGCTATCTGTCGCGACAGTGTGAGACTTGCTACCAATGCCTGTCGAGGCAGCTGCGCAGGCTGGTATCGGACATTCAGGGGGCAGCTTACCTGGCCAGTAGCGTCGCTTCGGCACTTGATACCACTGCTACACGGAACTGCTACTAAACTCTGGCGACCAAGTTACCATGCGGTTCGGAGGAGGAGACAAGGTGCCGGCGTAGACGGGGATTCGCTTCACACCGGGAGGTGCCTGGCCCAAAAGGCTCGGGTATGCTGCGAAGGGCGTGGTCGGCGCCGGGGCAGGGGCTGCCACGTCTGGCTGTGCCATGGGTGAGTGCTGTGTGCTGCCATCCTGACTGCCTTGCATTGTGGAGGCATTCTCGAAATCGGGAGCTTCCTTGACTTCCTTCTCCCTCTCCACATGTATCTTGAAGTCAATGGTCGACATGTCATCCATCCTGGTCTCCAGAACTTCTTGTGCCTGCTGCAGCAGTTGGACTGCGGTCGTGCATCTTTTGTCAGCATCGGCCAGGTGTTCTCGAAGCTTCTGATTCTCTTCCTTCAATTGCTCAAGCTCCTCACGCAAACCTGCACTCCCATCATCATAATCTTCCTCTGTCTCTTGCTCCTCACCTTCTCCTGTCTCGTCTGTCTCGGGGTTGCCCTCTTCATCGGACGAACGTCTCACTGCCCGAACGCGACGCTGCTGCTGCGGGTTGAGCATGGTGTTGTCTGGCGATTGCACAGGAGCTCCGTCCTCCCCAACCGCAACAATGACTCCTCGCTCCAGCATTGCCATGGCAAATTGGACATGGGCCAACCGTCCACGGGCTTGTCCAACGTTGGCCATCTTCTCGCGCAAGACATTGCCCACTTTCCCGTGCTTCTGCCTGATGCGTCCGATGCCTTCCTCGGCTTTTTCGCCCTCGCGGTTCTTCTTCACTGTAGCCTGCGCTGCCTGCTGTTCCGTGCGGCTCAACTGGCCGGTCAGCTTGTTCACCTCCTGCTCACTTCGGGTCAGCATCCGCTGGGCTCCCTGCAACTCCCGTGCGAGCTTTTTCTTTGCCTCCCGCAGCTCCTGAGCACGCTTTCTCTCCGCCAGCTTCTTCTGGCGCTCGTCGTCCTTGCGTGCAGCCTCGAGGTCTTTCAGTCGGGCCGCCATAGCTGGGTCAACCTGGGGAGAACTGGCGCGACGGCCGGCGCCGGCACCTCGGGCGGTGGCAGGCCGCATGGTGTCCCTTGCGAGCTCGATAGTCGCTGAAGGCTATCCCTGGCGCTTTCCTAGCCTGATGCTTCAAATGGCTGCACCCAGCATGCAGGCATCTCACCGAACAGACTGTACATTATGTCCCACTGCATGCAACTCCACTCCCAGCATGGACTGCTAGAAGCCTTGATAGAGGTATCCGACCCTTCCTCCATGAAGGCCTCTGCCAGCTACACAGAGAAAGTACAGCAAAGACAATGACACCAGCTTGAAAGACCATCACCTTTCCAATGCCATCGCGCAGAGAAAGGATGTCTGGAGAGCAGGTTGGGTGTGTGTATTCTCAAAGTAGCCGAACTTGAGTTGCGGTGAACTGACTCAAAGTGTACTTTGTTCACAGCTCTAGTGCTGAGACCTCCCATGCCCGACCGGGTAGCCGTCAACATGCCGGTCACGTGATATTCATCTCCAGCCGCCATGCTCCGGCCAATATCAGCTTCCAGCGGCTCCGTCTAGACGGGCTTGAACTATGCAGCCCTGACGCACAGCAATGTTTCTGCAATGCATCCAACGAATTACGCTTTCGAACGAACTACAGAGCTACGGTGAGACGAACGCCTGTCAGCCACCTATCAGCGAGTCTGAAACGCGTGACACAAGCGTGCAAAACCCGGAGCATGCAGCACTGCACGACTGCGCTGGCGTGGGCTTCACCTCCGCGGCCTAAGGGTCTTGCAAGGTCTTGCTACGGGTCCCCGACAAGATTTAGGCCCTTCGACGCAACAACTTTTCATTCTTGAGAGCTCCACGCAGATCGGGTGGTGCTGGTTGTAAGTGGCGTATCGGGCACCGTACCTCAACCCAGGCGCTTGCGAAGGTCCGTGTATGTCAGGAAATGCATTTTTACTGCAGAGCTCTCTGAGTCCGCAAAAGCTTAGGGACTTTCCTTCCAGCACCTCCGGGTAGCTTTGAATCATCTCCTCGAAGCCTGGCAGCACGAGGCAAACTATGCCACGTGCCGAACTCGGGGTGAGGTCTTGCAACAGCCCGTGACGCACCGAGGCCCCAACCGCCGCTGAGCGCGTGAACATTTTCCCATCCCTCCAGACAACCATCAACTTGTGGAATAGCTTCAACCATCTTTCAAACGTAGCAGCTGCCGCCCCCGGCTCGTGCCGCTGTTTAGCAGAACGGCAGATGCGCGCCGGCCTTTTCTACAAGGAGCTTCGCCACGCCAATGGTGGCTTGTTCGTTTGCCCCATATACGACCTGCAGGGCTTACAGCGCCACAAAGATCACGAGGTGACGAAAAAGATTCGAGCAAGCTGCCAGCAACTTTCCAGGGTCACGTTTGCAACGCAGCAGTTCAGGAATGAACTGGTCCTCCAGACACGGGCAAGGCACGGCTCAATCCATGCATGTCAAACGTCGTCTGCCCTTCAGACAAACCCAGTCCACCCACACTTGCATCCCTGGACTCAGTCCTACGTCCATACCTCACAACGAGACCCAACGCGGCTTTCGGGGGTCGGAGGCTTTTGCAAGATGACTTGCATCGAGTGGAGGCAATGGTGCTTGCCACTTGGGTGCTCAAAAAACAAACAGCGAGGCCGTTCCAGCTAAGCTAAACCTGATTATGGAATGCCAAGCATCGGCAAGTAAATGTCCAAGATCTCCAGCACAGCTCCCAAGCACTACAAGGATGCCTCTGGTTTCCGAGATGACAACCCCGCTTATTCTGCAAGGCTGTGTTGCTTCCTGCGAATGTGTCATAGGGACGACAAGCCCCCGATCTCACGAAATGGCCCTGGATTCGCCAACCGCTGTCCCTGTTGATCTTGGGTGCGGGGTAGGACACTGCCAGGGGGAGGTGGCACTGGTCGAACCTTGCGCGGTGGATCTTCAGGTTTCAAAAACTGCTGAGGAAACAAGCGCCCGAGGCTCCAGCTCGTCTCCCTCTCGTACATCCAGCAAAACGAGGTCCCGTGCCTCGCAGGCACAACCCTTTTTGCAAGTCCCTTCAGCAAAAGATGCCCTCACCTCTGAGACGGTAGTGTCCGTCTCAACGACACTGACTACAGACCTTAACGGTTGCACGCAGCATGTTCCCAAACAACTGGTGCTGCAGGTCTCAACAGCACTCCAGACCAAGACTCTCTTTTTGAACACTACTGCCTGCATCAAGACACTTGTACTCCCCTTGTGGGAGATCCCATGCCGCGTGCATTAACTTTTGTCACCCACCTTTGGTGGAGTAGCTTTCGCAAGCGTGTGACTCTGGCTGCCCAAGAGATGCGCTCCTTCTAGGATAGCATACCCCCTGCATCAGCTCGTTAGCACTGGCCATTAGGCCACCGCCGTGAGAGGCCACATGCCTCTGTCTTTAGAGCTTCGGGTCCTGTCTCAAGGCCTATGTACCTTGCTGGGGTCGGCTTGGCGGCTTCAAAGGCAGAGGATTGAAAATAGGCACTCTCGCTGGCGCTGCTGGCTTATCGGGTTGATATCAACCTCCGCTCGCGAGCCTGCAAGGGACAAGGAACAAGCTTACGATCCCGCTGTTTTGCCCATGCCGGGACGCCTGAATGTACTTGGCAGCTGGTGCTGTGTTTGCGCGGTTACCTCAAAGAGAGCATCCCACGATTCCACAGTCTCAGGTGCTGTCTCTGTGGTCGGCGCACCCTGCGGCTCCAATGTCCGGAGCACTTCGGTCAAGTCGTCCGCAACGCCCTGCAGCCTCGGGCGGATTCGGATCTTTGACAAAATTCCCGCGACCTGCACCTATTCGGGACGCATTCCAATTCAATCACGAGGAGCGCTGCGAAAATTCCACAGCAACCTGGCGAGTATCCGTGCACTGTCGATGCCAGGCCAGTGCATGGGCTTCTACGCACCTCGGTCAGGAAGAACAATGAGCTCAGCCGTCATCTTCAGAATCTGAGGAAGTTCAGCCTAAGATACGCAACACGACGACCGCGGGCCGGGTTCTTTCATGAGGTCAGAGTGGTGGAAGTCTCTGCAAGCCCAGCAGAAGCGCATCACTACAAACTAGACCCTGCGAAATCCAGCATGCAGAGGAGGTGCAGGTCTGCGCTGATGCCGAAGACAGCATCATCGAAAATGCTCCCGAAGAAAGCATCGCTGGCCTCACCAACACTGCCGCAACTTCTGTCGGGAGTCAGATGAGCTGAAGATAAAGATGTAAGCTGGGGCTTCGACCAATTTGCTTCGAAACTTGGAGTCCCACCCTTCAGCACAGCACAGTAATGCACGAGTGTTCAAAAAACCTGCAGGTGGCCGCAAGTGAATGCCTGCTTCATGGCACAGTCGGAGAAAGCCCTTTCGAGTCATCTCGTTCTTTGTCTCCGCAGTCATTTGAAAGAAAGCGAAGCTGCACCTGGCAAAGTCTGCGTGAAAGTCCGGTATTATGAATCGGTTTGACTCAGCATGTCCAACAACTAATGCAGAGCACAGCAAAAACTGTGAAGCTCCGGCTCCTGCGGCAAGAAGCTATCGTTGGAACGTATGTTCGTGAAACCGAGTCCCTTTGGCACCCTCTCCAACTGGCAGTGGCCTGCTAGATGGAGCCACTGCCCCGGACTACCCATCAGCACAAACCACAAGCACAAGTGCCTCCTGCAACTCGGTTGACCGATGAGCTAGGGTCTTTTTGCGCAGATTCCGGCCGTCATCCTGCGCATCCTGACCAAACCGGTTAAGCCACTGACCTTCGCAACACTCTGCGCCCGGCTGGTGTATTCCAGCCCATCACCTGGAGGGCTGTGACACAGGCTCACTGCTCTCGAATCTGGTTACAAGCTTGTTCCCACCTGCCACATGAGTTCCGGAAGGTAGTCCTGTATTTCATGTGCATCAGCTGTCACACGCGAGGCTATCAAGGCTCCTGCATGCTAGATTCGATGATTTCCACCCTCCAATGGAGGTCCGAGTTCTCCACCTGACACTTCTCCGCTAAGGGCGCCAAGGGCCAATAGCGGCCATGGCCATGGATAGGTGGCCTTTTCGGTGTTGGAGCGCACCCGCTGGGCCACCTGCCGGACAAGCAAAGGCCAATGCCCCAATGCCCAGCCCCGGAGCCCATCCCGTGGCCTCTTTCTGAAGTAGCAACTCCAACGTCAACGCTCCGAGCATTGGCCGATAGAAAACCTGCTTCCACTCGCGGCTTCCTGCTGAAAGCTCTGCCGATTGCATGCCAAGATGCCTCGCCATGCTTGAAGGAGGTCTCTGGAATCAGGTGATTCGTTGCTTCGGCAAAAGCTGCATCCTTAGCTGCTCGACTTTACCATTGCCGGCTCCACAGTCGGTGAAACGCGCCAAGCTTCCGAAGCACCTGGCTGCTCACCGAGATAGGTCCTCGCGACTTCCGCGGAATTCAGAATCGACCAGTGAGCCCGGCCATGCCCAGCCTGCAGAAGTGCCGCCAGGCTTTTTGGCTGAACTCAAGCAATGGGCTGTCGATGTCCTTGACGCAACGGCAAAACTGATTCCGCTCACTGCCCCTTCGACATTGTCCGGAGGCGCTCTCTGCCCTCCTGCCCTATCAAGCCAAGAGAAGGAGCTGAGTTACTGCACATCCGAGCTGCCCTAAACCTTAAACCCAAAGCCCAAAACCCGAAGCCTTGAAATCAAAACAAAACGCAACACCTGAACCCGAAATATCTAAAGCCCTGAAACCCTAAAACTCCTGAAAACCGCTGTCACATCCTAAAGCAGTCGGAGCCATGTGCACAATGCGGCGGGTGTCGCGACTGGCACGCAAACCCTGACCCCACTCTGATGCCCTAAACACGTCTAGACAAAAAACCGCCCGTATGAGTGCCGGCCCGCAGGATACAGATGGTGATCGCCCGATCGCTTCTTCACCAACCCCGTGCCTGACTGCCCAGTGCTTGAATCGCGGTGCCCGCGCGCGAGCTTCTTTCACACGTGCAGAAAGTCTTAGGTATGGGGCATTTGGGGCGCCCGTTTCGACAGTTGTGGAAGGTCCTGCTCGAAGTTCGCGCCGG